TTGTGCAGGAGTAACGACGACGAATGGCTCATGGACACTATTGAAACGTTGTACGCGGGACGACTGCGAGACGATAGCGGAAGTAAAAACGAGTCGGAGAAGAATTTGGACGTTATGGAGGTAATTGTTAGAAGTTTATCTGACTGCTCATATTCTCCCTAATAATGCTTTCGGGAGCGCATTTCGCGATAATCAGCTGGGCAGGGGACAGACAGTCTCATCGATAATACCTTTGAAAGTGGATTCCACCAGCCCACATGTGTGAAGTCAGGATGCCATTGTGCCCTTCTTGTCACCATCTAAAGCAACGAAGGAAATATCGAGCGAGATAGTTTTCTGCCTCCGCCCATACTATCACCGCGGAATGTGCCTTGAAATCGAGGGCCTCGAACACTTTAACCAAATTTTCTCGTCTTCAGCAAATTATAGTGAGTGTTTAGAAGTGGCGTCGTGCTCTGGCCCATGTTGCCAACTACTGCATTGAGAACCGCATGAAAACCCCACTAGGAAAACCAATGGACACCTTCAACAAACTCGGAGGTAAAGCTCACTGTTGGTAATAATTTCAACGATTTTCACCTTCGAAACTGATCGCTCAGGTGAACTCCTACGGTTGGCTAAAGAGGTCATTTCGGGGATTCCCACTCCACCCGTCACCAAAGCTCCAACTCACAGTCGGACTGGAGGAACATCCACAAGAGATAAAGGAGGGAAGGATGATGAAGATGCTGTGGATATTACTGAGCCGAGGTTAGTCTTCCCGCTCATTTCGTCTACTTTTTCTATTGTCCTTGAGTGCGCCGCGCTTCATATATAGCCCCCTTTTTGAGCACCGCTAGTTTTTGCCACGGAGTCGTGTAAAATAAGTCATTTAGGTCAATTTCTCCAGCAGAAGAGTGGTGGCGTGTCCGGTGCCTTCTTGAGTTTGTTGAGGTAAGCAAAAGTAGCCGAAGTTTTTTTCATTTTATTGTCAAAATGTGATTTTTCAGATTTTCGAAAAGCTCATGTATTACGTGAATAACGGGACCATGTTTCCAATATGCAACGTCTCAGTTGTAAGTTTTTCTCCTATTGCCGAATCCATAGGCTTACATGCATGAGTACCCAGTCAGAAGGCAGAAGTTTCAATGGACCCACCGTAGCGGAAAGAAAGTCGCTGAATCCACCTGCTTTTTGTGGCATGTAATTAGCTGCTTTAGCATTACGGCAGGGTTCTTTGCCTTGTTTGATGTAGTGGTGCGGGATGAAAGGCCATGTTCGGCTTGGAAGAGGCATTTGCTCCTTTCACTAGTTCTTTCGCTAGCTCTAGTGAACTAACATGTTATACTTTGGTGAAATCTGTAAACTCTTGTAAAGCCGCGAAATGGCAGAAGTGCTACAGGAGTTTACAGGTCTTCACAAGGCGTCCTGTGCCACTCCGCTAAGGACTATTTGTTGCCCCCACCAAGCCAATCTGTGCCAACTTTCATCCAGTACGTTTTACGTTTTAGTTTCACTGGATTAGGCAGAGGCGGTTTAGCGACAAGTGGCACGCGTACATTGTGCGCGTCCGGGGGCTAAATATCAAAGACTATCCTTTTTATCCTTGTTGTGTTGGTTTGAAGTTTGAAGGATGCGCACT